TAATATATAATACAATTATATCAACATTGTTTTTCAAATCAAAATAACTTTTAGCAAAGAAATTAGCTAAAAAAATAAAAATGATAAATATACTTTCTTAAACAATATCTTTATAAACAGTATTTAAGACATTCTCCAAACATTTACACATTATGGACATAATGGTAATAAACATTAAATGCATGAACAAAAATTGGTTAAGATATTTCCTTTATGATACAAGCATTGAATCTGAATAGTATATGATTCATACTTTTGGGGTATTGAATCCATCATATACAAAATTTTAACTTAAAAGAGTTGGTTGTTCATTTGGTGATAGAGCAAGAAAGATTTAATAATAATATTATTATTTTATCATTTCTTATATGAAAAGTTATAAAATTAATAAGCATTTTTCTTTAGGTTATTCAAAATTCTTATATAGAAATCACAACAAAAATTCTATCATATTTTTCTAATTAATTGTACAAAGACTTATAAAGTTTATGATTTGATCTTTCCTTTTTCATCTGTCATTACATTTTCATCATAAATGTTTCCTTTGTTTGTTGTTAATTAACTCATATGTATGTCAGTTACTAAAATAATTATATAAATGAAACTTGTTTAAGTATAAAATAAAATTTGAATGAAATTAAACTAAAAATTATTAGAAAGACTAGATGAGTCATTAGCATAAAGTTTTGTTCAAAAATACCATGAAGAGAAAAATAGAAAGGTTGCTCCAGAGGAATTCATCAGTGATGATTACAAGGGAAATTTTAGAGTAAGATAAGTTGGAGATAGACAAGAAAACTTAAACAAAAGTAAATTTGATGCTATGTCTACTGCCACATCTAATTTTTATAAAGAGACGGCAACACCAAATTCATCAAAGCTTCCTTCTTCAATAAATACATCTAAATTATTAGATTAAAGCAAGATTTCATAACTAAAATAATCAATAATATCAAACAGAATAACATCAGCATAGCCTACAAGACCTCTTATGATAAAGAAAATATAGAAAAATACAGAACAATTATAAATTGAATAAAAAGAATAAAAAGAATAAAAACCTCTAATTTTTGCACTAAAAATACTATCTTCTGCAAAATAGTCGTAATAAGATGAAGATAAGTCAATTATATAGAATTAGGAATAAAGTCTTAATAATTCTATAGTTACTAAACCTTCAATATTAAGGAGATCATCATTAACATCACATGGAAAAAAAATTGAATTAAAAAAAGAAGAAGAAGTAGAAACAAAGAAATTATCTCTACCTAAATAGTAGGAATCTCAAATCTCAGAACCAGTATTTTAATTTTAAAGATACTTTATCAGAGATTACAAAAAAAAATGAAGTACAAAATATAAATCATAATATTTAGAACTAATTTGATTAAATAAAATCTATTCAATTTAGATTTAATACAATGAATGATTCTCTTTATATGTTAGGAGAATACTTATAAAATTTATAAGAACTAAAATTAAATCATTCTTACATTGAATCATTGAGATTATTAGGAACTAAGTTAAGAAACTTATAAGTTCTTTGGAT